CACCAGGAATGGTACAGGGCATCTCAAGGTCACAGTCTTATTCTGCAGGCACGTGTAATGGTAGCCAGCTGGATAAAGCATCCTTCTGCTAGCGCTCCCTCCTTCTCATTTTCTCTCCCTCCCTCCCTCCCTCCCTGCTCCTCTCTGGGGTGGTTCTGCAGAATAAAATGAGGGTGCGTGAGCCTTCCGCTTGAAGCTCTGCTTCCTGGGGAAGTCTGGACAAAGCACCATCCGTGTGCTGACCCCCAAGTGTATGTCTCGGGGCCAGACTCCTCCTGAGCTCCAAGTTCTCGTACCCAGCTACAGCAGAGGGACCTTAGGTTGAACAGGTCCAACACGGAACTCCTAATTTCCCCCAAACCTGCTCCACTAAAGCTCTCCCCATCCTACCACGTGCCCAGAACCCTGAGTCATCCGTGAGTCACGACGTGGCATCTGTCAGCTCATCACATCATTTCTGTCCTCAAAAGGCCTCCAGAACCTGACCACTTTTCACCACCTCCATCGCAGGACCCCATTAAGATGGAGGTCAGCTCACGTGACTCCTCTGCCCAAAGCTCTCCAATCGCATCTACCTCACGGAGAGTAAAGCCAAAGTCCTTACCCCTAAGATCCCGGTCTGCCTCCGGTTCTGTTCCACACCTAATCTCCTACTCCTCTCTCCCTCTGTCACTCTGCTCCAGCCTCACCAGTCTCATTCTGTTGAAGACGTTGGGTATGCTCCTACCTCAGGGCCTTTGCACACACCGGTCCCTCTGTCTAGAATGCACTGCCCCAGATATCCACAGGACTGGTTTCATTCCCCCACCGTCTTCCTCCAAACGTCGTCTTGATCAATTGGACGGCGTTAAGAACTTCTCGTCAAAAGACACCAGTAGAAGAACGGAAGAGGGCCCACCGGATGGGAGAAGATCTGAACAAGACGGGGAAAGGGACAGAACACGGGAGAGGCACATCACCCCTGACAGAGAGGATAACTGGGGTGTGAGAGGTGCCCGGCCTCATGGGTCACCACGGAAATGCAAACTAAGCCCACTACAGACCCCTGGAGAGACCAAGCTCGAAAGGGCTGACACTGTCTAGTGGGCAAGGACGAAGAGCATCCAGATGCAAAGCCGTGCGCCGGCTCAGCCCGCCCAGCAGGTCTCCTGCATACGTGCCCCACAGAACGGGTCCTGTGTGCACCAGGGGAAGTGCTAGAACGGCCCAAGAAGCACTGTTCATAGGCCTATCCCAACCTCACTCCCATGCCCTTCCCTGCCTCACTCATCTTCCCCCATGGACCTTATCTTCTGATACATTATGTCTTTGACTCCATTGGTTTGGCCTACAGTCTGCCTTCCCCCGCTAGCATACCAGCTCTAAAAACACCAGGAAGTTTTATCCACTTCATCCATTGCTGCCACTTCTAAAGCTTTGCACCGTGCCCATTAGCACCAGCAGGCACTCAGTATTTTGCTGAATTAATCAAATTCCTCATTTGCACAAGGAGGCAAAGAAGTCACTGATTTTTTTGAGGAGATTTGGGTGCATGCGTCTACACGCCTGACACACCCAAGTTCTCATTAAAAGTTGGCTGTTCTCATCTCAAGCCTGAGAGTCTGACTCAGAGACCGAGATCTCTGTCCTGGAGGACAGAGTGGATTTACCTGACCTCTGTGAAGAGGGCCCAACCTTAGAAGAGGGGTACATTCTGGCTACATACTTTGTGATTAAATAGGGACGTTGTTACTGGAGGACCGAAAATCCCACCTCTTGGGATTCCTCAGAACTCTCAGAGGGCAGATGAGGTAGGTTGAGAAACCACAGGCATCTGGTCTTGACTGGGGAGAGAGAACCAGGCGGTGTTGAGTGAGGAACACCCCTCTTGGAAGATGGGTCATCACCTCGGAGTAGCTGGTGAACAATTCAGTACATTGCAAACAGCAGCTGAAGAGAAAATACACAGAGAAAGAGTACCGAGTGACCAGAAATTTTTGGTTTCCCCTATACGTATATGCGCGTGTGTGCTCGTTCATCATGTTTCTAATTGTGGGTAAGGGTAAAAAGAAAAAAAGAAAAAAAGAAAAAAAGTTTGAAAGCCGCTGGACTTTGGGAAATTAGGACTTGGGCTCCAATCCAGGCTCCATCAGCCCTCCAGCTGCTGAGATTTGAACATTTCAAAGCCCCTAGTGCCATGCCTACTTTTAGGAAGTTTCCAGGAACATTTGTTAACCCTGGCTCCCAACCCCGGAGGGCTGATAATGTGTGTTACCGGGACAGGATTCATTAATTCAGCGGGTAGTTACTGAGTTCTGATTCTGTGTCAGGCACTGGGCTAGATGCTTGGCACAGACCAGTGAACAAAACAGACAAAGCCTCAGGCCTTGCAGGGCTTATGTTCTAGCACGTGGACACACAAAACAAACAGTATTAGGTGTTGGAGGATGGCTGTTAGGAAACACATCTATTCCAAATGCTGCAGGGTGAGGGGCCTGAGAAGCGCCAGGCAATAGGGGCAGAGACAGGGATTTTAAATAGGGTGGTCTGGGTAGACCCAGACCACGAGAGAACGTTCCGGCAGGCTTGGAGGTTAAAGAATTAGTGGTGGCAACGTCCAGAGGAACAGGCAGAGGGTCAGCCTGTGCAAAGGCTTAAGGTGAGTGCCTCGCAGTCCCAAACAGCAAGAAACCGGTGTGGCCAAAGCAGAGGGTGTCAGGGAGCAAGGGGCGGACGGAGGCAGTGCAGACCCCGAAAGGCCACCGGGACGATTCGGGCCTGTTCTGGGTGGGCCAGGAGCCAGGGTAGAGGAGTAACGTGAGCTGAGTTCTGGTTCAAATCTGTGGCGAAGTCCCTGGCTGCCTGCTGCCTCGAAACAAGCACAACGGGGCAGGGGTGGGAAGAAGGGACGGGTTAGGTGGCAGTGACCGGGGCCGGAGCAAGGGCTGTGAGGGACCGGGGAAGCGGTCAGGGTCTAGAGGCATTTTGGAGACCAGAACTGACAGGTTGGATGAAGCGAGCGACACCGGGGTCCAGGATGATGCCCCAAGTCTGTGGCCCGGGAATGTGGAAGGATGAGGCTCCCACCCACCACAGTGCAGGGAGTGGGGGCGCCAGAGCCCGGGGGGACAGGTGTGGGCCAGGGAGGCTGACTCGTCCCTGCTGAGGGCCCTTCAAAAAACAGAAAGAAAAGCTCCCAACCAAGTTCTCAGAAGGCAAACTAGGGTGGGCCAGTCTGAGTCATTACTTTTTAAGTGAAAAATGAATGGCTTGGAGTTACAGCGAAATCTGTCAAGAAATCACTCTAGATTTCTGGTTCTCAAAGATCAGTTATGCCCGTTGTTCTTCTGAGAGTATCAGCGTCCTTCCAAGAGTAAGAGGAACCCGCAGGCAGATTACAGTTGGAACTTCCCCTAAATGAACTTGAGGTCATTTCAGAACGCGGCCTGCAGACCCGGGTTTGCGTAAGAACAGTAAACTGAGATGCCACAGAGGGTTTCCAACTAGGTTTTATTTTAGTTCCAATGTTATCGGCAACGATACAGGAGCAGTTCAGGCAAATATACCACCTTAAATACATCGGAGGAAAAACTCACTGTGTCAAGCATGTCTCACACTCCAGCAAATGAACGCAAAGACAGGGAACAAAGTTAGCAGCATGAAATTAAAGTGCTTTTTGCCACACTTCGGTCAGAGTCTTTCCCTCAGTGGGATAAATTTAATTTTACTCATTGTATAAGAAAGTCAAAATTCCATTCACCGCCCAGGGGCTACATTCAAAAAAATTCATGTTTAGTTATTCGAAATAAAAAAAAATGATTCCCCCCAAAAAGCACAAAGTTCATTGGAATCGTGTGACACTGATTTCTCCCGACACGCTGTGAAGTGACCACCATCTAGGCCTGGCACAAAGCTCAGAACATCCTCTTGCCATGTGACTGTCGAGGCAACACCCACCACTTTGCCCCACACGCCGTCCGCTGAAGGTCTGAAAGACAAGCAGGCACCTGGAGAAGAGGCCACCTGCGTGGCCACCCACCAGTGAGCAGAGGCCACCAACTCATTTCCCGGAAGCTGGAGGGCGGGGGGCGGGGGGATTCAGGAGGACAGGCCCCACCTCTCTGCCAGAGCCCCACCTCTTTCTGGGAGAGAGAGCTTTCTGGTTTCTAGGAAGTTCTCCGACCTGAGCTGCAGAGGCTGCTTGCCCCAGTTAACACCATGGGGACAGGAACCTGCCCCCTCTTCAACCAGTAACAATCCCAAACTGAACAGGAAACATTTCTTAAAGTCCACACGAGGTTGATGAGGGGAAGAGGCTCTGGGGGTCAGGGAGGGTGGCTGCTGGGTTTCCCACGCTGTCTCTTGGCCAACTGCAGCCTCAGCGGCACGGGAAACTTAGTCAGGAGGACTGACTGGTGGCCAAGGGCAGCTGGGAACACCTCTTAAGGGGCATAATGGGGATGCGATCAAGCTAACCGTGCGAGCTCTCGGAGCCTGTGAGCCCCTCACAGGGCAAGGTCAAACAGCCCTGTTCTCCATGGACTCCACATTCTCCAACCATCCCGGACGGGGCGCCCCCCTCCCTCCGCCATCTTGCCTTCTGCTACATCCTCTAACGCTCTGGACCAACCCATCTATGACCAATAATAAAACCAGGCTACACAGGCTAAAGACTGAAAACAGAACAAGGGACACAGTGAAGAGAAGGGAGGCCAAGCCCCTCCTCAACGGTACCAGCTACCTGCTCTCTCCACACGCCCCTCCCCTCGGCCACCGCCCCCGCCCCGGCTCCTGCAACATCTTTCCCGCCCCCTCATAAAAAAAAAAAACCCCCCCCCCCCCCCAGCCTCCAACCCAATCTCTGCCTCCAAGATGTGTGGGAACCGCTCTGCCGATGCAGCGAAGCTCAGAAGCTGAAAAACCAAACTGACGCTCAGGCAGCAGCCCTTCCGGAAATGCGTTCCAGTGCGATCGGGGAAGAAATCCCACCCTCCCTCGGGCGGCCCTTCTTTGCGAGTGTGGAGCGGAGCGGAGCGGACGTGTGGTCGGGGATTAGTGTCGCTGGAGGACGGGGTCTGCCTGACGCCCTCTGAGGCGCCGACCAGGCGTCCCGCGGGGCCGGCAGATCCCGAGACCTTGTAAAGCACTCAAAAGAATCTCAGTCAAGTGCACCCGACAAAGCAAAGACTCGACTCCCTGGTACCACGCGGTCCACGGTCATCATCAAAAAAAAGAAGTCTCCTTTAGGGGTACGAGCCTGAAGATCTTCCTGCAACGGCAGGCAAAGGGGGGGGGGGGGAACTAGCGTTTCAGGGGCTCAAAATGGTATGAGACGGGGGTGCTTTCGTTCTCAGGGTGGCAGCACCGGACGGGAGCTGCCCGGGGCCCCGGTGGGGGCCACACAGCACGGACCCTCCCCACACGGGCTGCGGCGCCAGGCTGCCCACTATCTGCTGGGCTGCAGGTACTGGTGCGTGAACATGTTGAGCTCGCTGTCCAACCAGCCGGCTTTGTTCCTGCGGAGAAAGGGTTAATTTGTAGCGCTCCAGCTGCCGACAGGTGACAGCATGACACACTGAGAGCGGTTCCAAGGACACTGGACTCATAGCCTCATTTACTCCTCTGATAACCCCCACTTTGCAGATGAGAGAAAGAGACCCAGAGAACTTATGACATAACTTCCCACAATCACAATTCATCAGCCATGGAGCCTAAAGTAAGGCCTGTCTGACATTCAAGCCCTATGTGTGCTTCACCTGACCACAGGCAGGCCCCTGAACTGTCCGGAAGTCAGTTTTCCTGCCTGTCTGTGGGGGGTCGGGTTGCTGGATATGCGGCCCATACGGGCTCACCCCGTCCTTGTTGGCTATGAGCAGCAGAGGCATCGGCGACCACCCCCCGCCCCCATTGCCGAGGGGTCCTTGAAACTGACTCGCCCAGGGCAGTGGGTGGGGAGGGCACATCAGCCCGGGAAAGTCCACCGTTTGCCCAGGGGTTGGCACTGACGTCAGGGGCGGGGGCAGGAAGCGCAGGGTCCCCGGGTGCTGATGTTATCTCAGGCTGAACGGGCTGAGGACCTTTGCGGAGCGCTTTCTGGTTCAGCTCTGTGGCTCTGTCATGAGAGCTCGCTCCATTTTACAGATGAAAACAATGAGACTTAAGAAAGCTCGGTGATCCGCCCAAACACAAGTGCCTGGGCCAGAACCCAGGCCTCTGGCTCCTTAGATTGACACCCCCCCCAGCAAAACTTGGACAGAAGCTCCGACTTTCCACAGGGACCCCGCACGGACCTGGGTGCCAGTGGGGGCTCTGCCCGTCACCAGCTGCCTGACCACCTTTCCGACGGGTAAAAATGCCCCTTCCCCGCGCCCAGAGAAATGGAGTAAAGCATGTGGCGGGTCCAGCCCAGACACCCCGGTGCACAGTAGACAGAGAAAGACCATGAATGTGTGGCGTGTCCCGGGGTGCTGGAGCCACGCACACCTGGATCCTCCTCCTGGCCTCGCCACTGCCTGTGGGACCCCAGACAAGTTACTTAACTCCTGGAGGCTGCAATTTCCCCTTTTAGAAAACGGAGATAGGTGACACGACCCTGCAGGGACACGGACGGGTGAGCGGCACGGCGCCCGTCAAGTGCCTGAGATGCTGCTGAAGGAGAAGGTGCCTGTGAGCGGTCCCTTCACGGCTCCCTTCCGCCTGGCTCCTCCTGCGCCAAGGCCCCGACGGAGAGCGTCCACAGGGCAGTAACTCTACATCCTGTCGAACGTCCAGCGCTGGCACCGTATCTGGCACCCAGCAGATGCTAGCAAACAGCTCACACGGAGTGAAGTTCGCGTCCACGCAAGACACAGACAAGCAGCCAAAACACCGCTGCGCCCGGGCTGCACACCGGAGCCCACCGCCTCCGGCCTCCCGGGGCGACCTCACCTGAGCAGCTTTGCTTTGCTCTGAAGTGAATCGAGAACCTCGATTTTCTTGTTCATGGCGGCAATGTCCTGCTCCAGGTTCTCCCGGGTGACGTCAACTTGCTGGCACAGGTGGGCAAAGGTCCCAGACAGTTCCCTGAGTGGGAGAGAGTCGGGATCAATGCGGCCACGTGGCTGGTTTGCAGAACACGGGCACTGGCTAGATCCACCTGGTGCCCATCGGTCAGCCGCTGGCAGCTCTGCCCTGCACCACGCCGGTGTGGCAGAATCTTCTCCGCCCGCTGCCCAGACCAAGGACGCCACACACGCTCAGCGTCACCACAGTGAGAGAACCAGGAGCACCCTGCCTGGGGCACAGCAGGCGGAGATTCAGATCCCAGCTCTGCCGCTAATCACCAAGTGGCAGGGGAAAAGGGGCCGCCCCTCGAGCCTCGGTTTCCCCATCTGGAAAAAGGAGACGCCCACACAAACAATGTCTACTTCAAAGGGTTCACAGAGAAAATGAAAAATTAGGTGCGGGCAAGGGGCCCACCACGCAGCAGTGTGAGGAAGGCAGGCCGGCACTCCTCCCGCCCCGACTAGCCAGGCAGGCAGCCTGGCCCCCTCCTGCCCAAAGCTGTGCCAGGAAGACAGGGCCGGGTCTTAGAATTTCAAAGCTCTGCCTACAGACCTTGAAAAAACACTGCAAGTAACGGCCCTCGTCCGCCCGCATCTCCCTTCCTTGGTGGAACAGAGGCCTAACTGGCCCCGGCCCCGGGCATAGGGTGTCCCCGGAAACAGCTTTCTCCCCATCCCTGGTCTCAGAGCCAACACTGCACGGCTGAAGGCCAGTGTCAGATGATGCTGGGGATCCAGCGGTTCCCAGGGCAGGTCCAAGGGAAGCTAGCGGGAAGTTCTGAACCAAAGGAGCCGGCCCCGACCCCGCGGGGGACTCACTGTTGGACTTGGTGGCTGCAGTTGGAGCCGGTGTAGCTGATGATGAGTTGTAACTTCTCGCTGGCATACTCCACGAACTGACGCTTGAAGGCCCTCTCCTTGGCCCTGGTGGTCCAGGTCAGACGCTCGTAGACATACAGGAGGCCATAGAGCCCAAAGGACAGGGCAATAAGCCGCCAGCCCACCGCCTTCCACACCTGCAGAGGCACAGCGATCAGCCGATGTGGGCCCTCTGCCGCCCCCCTGCCTCTCCCAAGGGCCCCAAAGAGCCTTTGTGTCTCTCCTCAGGACGCCTCCTTCCACACCTCTTTGACCCCACGGAGGCCAGAAGGGCAGGAACCTAATTCAGAAACAGGGTAACTTAGCGTTGGTCACACGAGAAGACTTGTGCTAGGAGGTGGGGGTAGGGGAGGGGCGGTTAGGGGAGTGTGGGGGGTAGGGGAGCGTTGGGAGTAGGGGAGGAGGCACTGGCACCAGAAGCATGGAACCAGACACGCAGAGTCCCTAAAGACAAAAGCAGGTGCTCTAAAGTGACATTCCATCCTGAGGACACTGACGAGTAGAATCCCTCACGTCTTTCCTCAGAGGGTGGCTTCTGTCGCTCTGGTCCGTGACACTTTAGTTCGAGGCAGCGCGGTCACAAAAAGCACTGGACACGGAGCCAGAAATCAAGGCGTCAGTGCCACCTGCCGTCCTGGTTGAAACCCACGCCAAGTTTCTTTACACACGTTCCTCCCAAAAGAGGCCTGATGGTCTCTCCAGGTCTCAGGGTTGTTTGGGTAAAATGGGCTATTTGACAGGGTCCCATGACCACCGAGTACCGGCGCCTCAGCTAACGACCCTCTGCCAGGTCACCGTCTGAAACAAGCCACACGGCACGCCAAGTCTGTGGAGACGGAGAGCAAGGGGCCTCAGCTGTGTCCACCCCAGTCTTCCGAGCTGAGAGCACAATCCCCAGCAGTTTTGTCCCTGTCACATCTGCCACCACTCTACGGCTCGAACGACCACAGCAGAGAGAGCGAGCCCACATCCCCAGCAAACTCAGGGTGAAAGTGTCCTGGCCGCCGTGTGTCGTGCATCAGGACGTGGGGAGTACCCCAGTCACCAAGGCGGCAGCCTGCGATCTCAGGCTTTGGCGTGGAAAGGAAAGGGCAAGAAAACCAGGAGACAGACACATAAGGGTTCAAGGCCCAGCCTGGTCTCTCTGTCTTAAACCCTTGCCAGTTTCGCTCTGGGCTTCCTCACCTCCTGGCCACGCCCACCTGTCTGGACTCCAGCTTTGTCACCTTCTCGGGTCCCTTCCCCGAAGCCCGTCATGTAGTAGAGGCCTTCAGGTCAGAGTTCCAATCCTAACTGTCTTTGGCGAGCCACCCAGACTTTCCTCCTCTGTCACACGGGAGCGGTGCCAACTGAACGTCGCGTCGGCTGAGACTTCAAGAAGTCAATGACTAACACGCCGAAGCTCAGGCTGAGGCCGCACAGCTCCCGAGACCAGAGACCACCGTGAGAAGCTGCCGGTGGGCGTGAAAACGCCGCTGTGTGGACGCGGGGACCCTGACCAGCACCGTGCCCCTCGGGCCCCACCCGCCTGTCCTCCAGCCCCCGCCCTTCCCGGGCAGGGCTGCTCACTGACCACGCCTCCAACAACGAGAATGCCCATGGAGGTCCTGGACGTCAGGGAGGCCAGGCCGGTGACCATGGAAACCATGAGCTCTTCTTGGGTGAGGGAGCCCTGCGGCAGCGGGGGCATGCTGGGGTTGGCTGGCGTCAGGGGGATGGGGCGCTGCACCTGAAAAGACACGACAGGAGGGGTAAGAAGAATGTGGCAGGTCTCTGGTTCAACAGAACCCTCAGTGACCCTCAGGACCAGGGGTCCTGGGACAGGGACGCAGAGTGGCTCTTCGGTTTCCAAAAAGGCAAAAAGAAAATTAAGCTTTGCGTGCAGCAAGGAAGGACCGAAGCTTCGTAACAGACCTGCCAGCCCCAAGGTGAGCACTATGGGGACCCCACAAAATGCGAGCAGTGGCAGCCCCAAATGCCTCGGTACAATTCCCCCGAAGTGGGGGTGTGCACCAGGCGCAGTACACACATGAGTTCGACAGGTAGAGACATGAGTGGTTTTAAAAATCTAAATTTTAAGGGTGGGTGGGTGGCTCAGTCAGTTAAGCGTCCAACTTCGGCTCAGGTCATGATCTCACAGTACATGGGTTCAAGCCCCACGTCGGGCCCTGTGCGGACAGCTCGGAGCCCGGAGCCTGCTTCGGATCCTGTGTCTCCCTCTCTCTCTGCCCCCTCCCCTGCTTCTGCGCATGCATGCTCTCTCTCTCAAAAATAAAAAATTTTTAAAAAATCTAAATTCTAAAACGGTGGTATGTGGATAGACTTAAATCATCTATATTCACAAGTCACACGCTTCATTTGACATACGTTAGAAAAAACACTCAGCTAACGTTTTTAACTCCGCAGATATCGGTGCTTAAGTCAAGGCTACGTGGATTTGTGGCAAAAACCCGGACCGTGGTGTGGTAGCACACCTGCCACGGCTGAAACCGCAGGGAACCCCCTGAGAATGGCTCCTAGGTCTGGAGACAGGTGCAGACTGACCTCTGGTGACACCCAAGGGTGCGGGACACTGCTTGCCTGGTCACCGTAGCCCATCAAGGCCCGGCGGCTGTTCTTGGGGCCCAGGAACCTATTCACCAGCATGGTCCACCCGAGTGAAAAATGGAACTCGATGTCCTCCTGGAAGTCAGCACACAGCTTGTCACAGTTCAGGTCGTAGCTGAGGGAGAAGCACTGCCGAGGGACCAGCATGTCTATCTGACTCCGCACAGATGCAGGAAGGAGGGGTTTCAAACCATCTGTCGGGAACACAAACGAGGGGAAAGCGCATCGGCTCGGCCCTGTGCCACAGCGGGGTCCAGCCTCGAAATGGAGGCCGTGCCAGCCTCCGCCGAGGACGCAGACTGCTCTGCAGGAATGGCCTGTGGCGCCACAAGGGCCCCTCCCAGAGAGGCAGGCCAGCTGGCCCCAGGGGTGTGTGGACCGAGGCTCCAACACCTGCTGATGTTTATGCTTCAGGTGAATTTAAGGACAGGCCAAACTCTCAGCCTGTGACAGTCCCGTGTGGTAACTCAAGCCGGCTCCCCGAGTCTGTGTGTGGAACACAGGCTCCGCACACCCCAAGAACCTGAGGGTACCGGACAGACTCATCGTCAAGAGTGACAGACAAGGAGAGGCCATTATTTCTGTGGACTGGCCTCCAAAGCTGACCGCTGGGCAACCCAAAAGCCCCAGTCTCAAGTCCCCACTGACCTATCATGTCCTGCTGCATGGTTTGCAGAGAGCTGGTGATGGCTGTGGAGCAGCGGTCGGACATATTCCGGCCCAGTCCTTCCTCTATATGGCGGTGCAATTCCTGCAACAGGGAGGCAGAGGTTCAGAGAGGCGACGCCCCCGTCAGGAGTTCATTCTGGGGAGCCAGGGGACAAGGAAGCCCGAGGCTGGTCAGCCCGCACCCAGCAGGTGACCGCGGAACGCGGAGTGGAGCCTGGGTCCTATCTCCCTGGCTGAGGGACCCTGACGCAGACCAGCAGGGGCCGAATCACTATCACGTGGCAATTCCACCCAGCAGCCCAAGGGATTAAAGCGAGTCCCCATGCAGAACACCTGCTGCTTAACGACTCACGTTCTTGTAGACCTTGAGGACCACCGGGGAAGGGTGGAAATCCATCTGGTATTCGTCCACCAGCACGGAGAGGCGCCTGATCTCCTCCGCCATCGCAGTGGACACCTGCGGGAGAGGGACGCGTACCGTGAAGCATGAGGGCAGGTAAGCCTGGTTCCCTCCTGCAGCACCAGGAGAGCCGTACGAGTCCTCACAGACCGCATGAGCTTCCCCACAAGCCAGCGGTCTTCTCAGCTCCCCTACGGCAGGAAAGCTTTTGAGGGAGAAGGGATGTCCGACTGGCGGGCCAATGCTTCTCGGAGCTGTGGAGGGGAGGCCCAGAGCACAGGGACTTGCCCAGGGTCACACGAGGGACCAGGGAGCCCAGGGGAAGCTATGCGCCCGCTCCAGTCAGGGCCACAACTTCCTTCTAGAAGGCTGAGAAACCGCCAGCACCCTGGACACTCCTAGGCAGTCCAGATCGCCCAGAGTGCTTCCTCCACGATCCTCACCTGCCTCTCCACCTCCTCCGTGATCTGTTTAATCCGCAGCTTATAGTCCTGCGCCAGGAGCTCCAGCTGCTTGTCAATAAACCTCAGCCGCTCTTGCCGTTCTTCCCGCATCTCCAGGCAGTAGACCCTGAGAGAAAGCGCGCTGGGCTCAGGAGCGGGTCCCCACCCAACCAAGCGGAGGAGCGAGGGGACGCCAGGAAGGCTGCACATGCCCCAGCTGGGGCCCCAGCAATGTCAGACGGTGCCCAGAAGCATGCTCTCCCCGTTCCTGAGCACCAGCCCTGTGCCCTTAGGTCTGCCAGCTGGGAAGAGGTGGTGGGGGGCCAAGGAGGATGCTTGGGGGGATGGGGAGGGGGGCGTTTAGAACAGATTCTGCTCATTAATCCGGGAAAAAAAAAGCTCAGCCTCACTAGTCATCGGGGAAATGAAATTAAAAAGAGGTACTACTCTACGCAGGCAGGAACCTGGCAAAAATCACCAAGTCTGAAGTGCCGGTAAGGCTCAGGGAATGCACAGTCCCAGCACACACCGCGGGGGAACTGGGGACGCGTTCAGACGTTTCAGAGGGCATCAGAGGAAAACGCTAAAACTGAAAATGCACACACCCTAGGACGAAACAGTTCTGCCTCCGGGAGTTAAGCTCCTAGACATACTCTTAACAAATGTGCACAAGGGGCCACTTGAACCGGTGTCCTCTGCGACAGGGTTTGCAACAGAAAAGAATTAAATCTAAAAACTAATCCGTTGGCTGGGGCACCTGGGTAGCTCAATCAGTTAAGCGTTGGACTCTTGGTTTCAGCTCAGGTCACGTTCCCAGAGTCGTGAGATCGAGCCCCATGTCCGGCTCTGTGCTGACAGCGCAGAGCCTGCTTGGGATTCTCTCTCTCCCTCTCTCTGCCCCTCCCCTGCTTGCACAGGTGTGCGTGCATATGCTCTCTCTCTCAAATAAATATCAAAAAATAAACAAAAATAAAAATCAACCCGTAGGAAAAATGAGGTATATGGCCAACGGGATGCTCTATCTCAGTTAATAGAAACACCAACTCTGTGTTACCAGCTCTGTGTTACCTGAAAGGGATAGGGGACAAAACCAAAGCCAAGTGGAAAGAAACACAAGGTGCCCTGACACGTTCACTATGACACCCTGTCCACATGCCTGAGGCACATCCACAGCAGTATTATGTATTCTTCAGGATTTATGCAAAAGTACTTTCTAAATGGATGATGGGGCTACACACCAAATTCATGGCTGCCATTGCCTCTGAGGAGTGGGCAGGGTGACAGCGGGGGAGGGGCTGAAGACTCAAAGGGTGTTTGATGTTTTTTGTTTTATTTCAACTTTAGGATAATATAAAGCAAACACTAAAGAAAGCAAGATGTTTTTACGTTATTCTCTGTATTTTCCCATATTTTAATTTCTATTAAAAACAAAACAAAACAACAACAACAAAAAACGGGGCACCTGGGTGGCTCAGTCGGTTAAGCATCTGACTTCAGCTCAGGTCATGATCTCACAGTTCATGAGTGTGAGCCCTGCATCGGGCTCTGTGCTGAAAACTCAGAGCCTGGATCCTGCTTTGGATCTGTGTCTCCCTCTCTCTCTGTCCCTTCCCTGCTCAAGCGCACGCTCTCTCTCTCTCTCTCTCTCAAAAATAAACAAACATTAAAAAAAAAAAAAGGTTATTTTTAAAAAACTGTGCCCTGGGAGCACCTGGCTGGCTTAGTGCAGTGGAGCACGTGCCCTTGTTCCTGGGGACCAAGCTCAAGCTCCACGATGGGTGTAGAGATTACTTACAATAAAATAAAATCTTTAAAAAAACCAAATCCACATCTCCTGCCTCTAGCTCTTGAGAAACGCTGCCATGCTCAGTGTGGTGTCAGCTGAGGCCTCCAACATCGGGCTTGTGGGGCAACACTTCTAAGAACCACCACACAGACCACGTGGGATGACCAGATACCCACCCAATGGCCATCCTCGCCAGGCTGCTCCCTGGGGATCTCACTAGTCCCGGTGGCACCCCAGAGACTCAGCTCTGCTGGCAAGTCCCCAGGCTGGGGTAGCGATCCCCTCCCAGCTCTGCCCTCTGCGGGCACGCGGTGTCGGGTTCTTACCGCTGCTCCTGTGCCGCAACGTGCAGGGAGTCCATGATGAGACGCACGGCTTCCGCAATCTGCTTGGCCCGGACCGTGTGCTGCTCGAACTTGGTCTTCACCGCAGACTGGGAGATGCACTCCTGGAACAGACAAGAGGTGTTGAGGAAGGCGGGGGCCACTGGGGTCCACCAGCCCCAGGCGAGGCTCTGGCGTTCACTGCCAGGGTCACGGCTGGCGGGTGCCGGGGAGGCACAGAATAATCAAATGCTGGAATCAAAGGGCTCACCTCAAATCTCCTTTCAAAGTTCTGAAACTCAAACATCCTCACTTGAAAGCCTTCTGCAAGAGCGCCCCCTAGGAGAATTACACCATATTAGTCCAGAAACAACAGCAGAAGGAAATGGTAACATCGTCCAAAGCCAAGCCGACGGGGCACTTGGCTTAAACACTGGCCGAGAAGCAAAGAGCTTCTCCCTCAAGGCTCTTCATCAGAACCATCTTCACGGGCTGAGCACAAGCCAGATGTCTCAACCATCAGGGAAAAGGAAGTCTGTTCCATCGTACCTCCCTCAGGCATGCCCTGGGCCTTCTGGATCCTGGCGTTGAGCACCTCCTTGGCAGACACAAAGAAGATGCGGTCTCCAGCCTGGCCTCGGTCCACCACGCCCAGCTCATCCACCAGGAAGCTGGTACAACGTTCCATGTGCTGCCGCCGCACCTGAAGCCCAAGCAGATGGGTGGGTGTGACCAGGTGGGGTGCCAGTGGCCCCCTCCCAATGGAGCCCACAGCCCCGAACTGCCTCGCTTCTAAAGAAGAGGTAAGGCAGTCACATGGTTCAGTATTCCACAGGTACAAACACACACCTCCCACACACGAGGAGTCATCTCCCACTATCGCGGCTCTCTAGCCACCGAGTTCCCCAGAACCCACGTCATGGGGGTTTCTTGGGGCACAGGCTGCCACAAATATTTTATGCACATACAAGCAGAAATGCCTAAACCTGCCCCAAACTACCTCTTGTTAGAACCGACACGGCGTCTCACTTTGGTGCCCAGAAGGAAAGGAACGCGGAGCCAAGAAACCTAAACTTGGGCTTCACCCTGCCAAGCCGAGTCCTCCCAGGGCCTCGTTTATAAGATCAGTGGACGCCACCGGGAAATCCCTTCTAGCTCTGAAATCCTCAGGTTCTACTGGGAGGTGCTTTCCTCAAGTCAGCAGATTTCCTCCTTCCAAGAACTCTGTTTCACGCATCTCATAGACAAGGAGCTTCCCCATCACTGTCCAGCGTCAGCCTGCAGGCCACGCCTCATCGTCCCATGTTACCAGTCTGTTACTCCTTTTTCTTTCCTCTCATGCAAAAAGGTAAAGAACTAGAGGATTTGCCAGTAAGAATCAATTATTCTTTGCTCCTCCTTTAAGCTTCTTTCCTGGACGTCTTCTGAAAGCTGAGCCTGTTCTATAACGAGTAACTCTTCATGAACTAAAGTGAGCACTGGCCTCAAACAAGGGTGTGGTTGATGCGGTGGGGACGCTTTTCAGGCCTGGATGACAGCCTTTGGAAGAGTAGAGGGAGCAGGGGAAGTGAGCAGAAGTGAAGGGAGTGTTCCTAAAGCCCTCAGAAGACACCACAGTGACCCCAGGGAACACCTGGGAAATCTCTAGTGAAGAAGTCAGTCACAGGCCCAATGTGGCCGGAGAACCCACGGAGAGGCTCGGGGTGGACACGGTCCCAAAGTGACGACTAAAGAGCTACTCACCTCTTCCATGTACTCAGGCTCCGAGGCGGACGCGTCCCAGCGGTTGTTCAGGATGAAGATGTTCGGGCGGGACAGGCGCTCACTCACCTTGTGGAAGAACTGCTTCTCCTGAAGGGGGACAAAGACCTCAGTACAGGAGGGGCTGTGCTGGCCAAGGTCGTCAGCCACACGCACCCCCTGCCCGCTCCGCTGGGGTCCAGGGGTGTGGGAAAAGGTGGAGGGGTTACCGTCTGCATCAGGGTGGACTCTGAGTTGGCCACCAACACAAACACGTCGGCGTCCAAGCAAAACTTGTCAATCCAGCTGTCCAGCTCTGTGGTGACGTCGATGCCAGGGCTAGAGGTGACGGGGTAAAGCATCATCAGGCACACAGACCTTGGGCCCTAGTCTTCCTGCTCTGCACAGACTTGAGGCAGCCAGGCAAAGGAGGAGAAAGTTACAGGTGTGACAGAAATCGGGCCTGGCCTTTACTGGAGGGATAATTACTTTTCATTTCATATCCTTCCTGATAGTCTGAAAATATGTTTTGTGTTTTGTTCCACCCGTGTATCACTTTTATTAAAACAACAGTTTGGGGCGCCTGGGTGGCTCAGTCGGTTAGGCATCTGACTCTTGATCTCAGCTCAGGTCATGATCTCATGGTTCAGGAGTTTGAGCCCCTCGCTGGCAGCACGGAGCTTGCTTGGGATTCTCTCTCTCCCCCTCTTTCTCCCCTTCCCCTGCTCTCTCTCTTTCTCTCTCCCCCTCAAAATAAACATTGAAAGAAAATAAAATTAAAACATTAAAAATAATGACTTGTGGGGCAACTGGGTGGCTCAGTCTGTTAAGCGTCCGACTTTGGCTCAAGTCATGATCTCACAGCTCGTGAGTTTGAGCCCCACATTGGGCTCTGTGCTGCCAGCTCAGAGCCTGGAGCCTGCTTTGGATTCGGTGTCTCCCTCTCTCTCTGCCCCTCCCCCGCTTGTACTCTGTCTCTCCCTCTCAAAAATAAACATTAAAAAAAATTTTTTTTAATAATGGCTTGTAATTTCGCTTTGCAGATACGCAGTTAAGGTGAAATTTTATTTTTCTGTGAGTCCAATAAGCACTACGGTACCGTACTTCTCAAGACAGTTATGACCTGCCCCAAAGTGTTCCTTCGAGAGAAATAAAATACCACACGGACCCCAACACCACAAGCTCCCAACCCTAATACACGCACCAACCTCGGTTATAGCTGAGAACCTCCTCAACTTTTGGGCCTCCCTCCCATCTGTCTTTATGGATCGTCACTGGGACATTTCCAGGGCACTGATGCCAACGGCTACAGCAGCCAGACCCGGGGAAATCCAGGAGGCGGGAGGATTTGGCCGAGCCAGTAGGAAAGGCAGCACGAGAAGCAGAGCACCAAACAGGCCCCAGGGGACCCTGGCTGGAGGATGCAGAAAAAGAAACCCGGAGAGGGCCCAGCGTGGACCTCCTACGGAGGCACTTTCCCTCTTACCTGTCCATCAGCACGAGGTCATCCTTCAGAAGTGGGCACTTGGAGTTGGGCCACATCACACTCACTAGGCTGCCAGCATGGAGCTGCTCGTCCTGGTGAAGGGCATGGGCCAGCTGGTTCACAGTCTGACAGGGGAGAGGAAAAGAATGAAAGAAAGAAAGACCGGAGCTGAGGAAGACTCGCTGGCCGCCAGCCTGCCCGTGCCGCCTGGCACGCAGGGCTCAGTGGCCCAGTGCTGCGGCCTGGTCTGCTTCCCTTACTCCTTTCATTTCACACGGAAAAGCCAAGGGCCGGGCCGAGCCAATAAGAAACAACTGCTCTTCACTCCTTTCAAGGGTGCTTTCTTGGCTGTTGTCCTAAAGCTGCAGTTATTTGGCACTGATGAGTTCTCCACGCACCGAAAGGAGCTTCTGGCCCCAAACAAGAATGCCAGCGGCTCTCAGAAAAATAAAAACGGACCAGCCACGGGCTATTGACTCACAACCACGGGACAAGTGCAGGAGTCGCCCTGTAGCAACAGCCCAGCAAACGAGGCACACACACTCTTCTGAGCAAGGAGAAGAGCCGCCGGCCTGCTTGGCAACACAGGAACTGGAGCCTCCTGACTCCTGGCGCTCTTCAGACCCGCCCGGAAGCTCTCAAACCTGCCCAAGCTCAGCTCTGACAGGCCTTCCCATTTCCCACCGCACGGGCACCACCCTCTCCTTAGAGGTGCTGACTGCCCGGTCACAGTGGACGTCCCGGTTGGTCTACGCCCAGACTCGACCCGCCCGCACACCCCCCCCCCCCCCCAGCACGGTCCCCGCCACGGCACCCTCACCTTGACGCTCCTCTTCTCCTCCGAGCCCTCTGTGAGGAGGAAGGCCTCGTGACCGTCTGTGCCCTCTACCCGCAGGAAGCAGTTGGTGGTGTGGCCGATCCCTGAGGGCAGAACTTTGTCCCAGAGCATGGCATTGATCACGGTGCTCTTCCCGTTGCTCGTCCTGCGAGGACAACTGGCCGTCAGGGAGGCCACCCGTACCTGCCTTGCAGGCTTCCACACGGAAGCTGCCGGCCTGGGAGCCCGAGTCTCTGCAGTGGCACCAGTACCCAGACAGGGGGAGCGAGCACTCTGTGTTTAGGCAAACGGATGGACAAACACCTCTAGCCTGTGCCCATGATGTGCTCCCAGGTCATCACTGCAAACCTACCCGCGGGGGCCACCCTAATCTTGGTAACTAGCGTAATCTTTAACAGGGGTGCTAAGTGCATGCGATTGATTTACTAACCCTCCCTCTGTTACCTATTAATCCCACATTCCTCTCTAGAAGAAGAGAGACTCCTCACATGTCACAGGAGTCAGATCTCTTGCACAACCCTTGAGCACTGAAAGCTGCAAACAGGAGCCACTAAATCTGTACAGAATAGAAACGTTAAAGGCCCCTGCACCCCCTCACTGATGAACGACCCTCGTCCCTTTAAAACCCTCACTGGGGCGCCTGGGTGGCTCAGTCAGTTGAGCGTCTGACTTTGGCTCAGGTATCTCACAGTCCGTGAGTTTGAGCCCCGCATCGGGCTCCGTGCTGACAGCTCGGAGCCTGGAGCCTGCTTCAGACTCTGTGTCTCCCCCTCTCTCTGCCTCTCCCCTGCTCATGCTCTGTCTGCATCTCAACAATAAATAAAAACATTAAAAAAAAAAAAATTTAAAACCCTCATGGCGACACAGAAACTGAGGAGTTGGCTATTGGGTAACAGTCCACCTTCCTCCCACATGGCCAGCCTCCTAAATCAAGCACATATTCCTTTCCTATCAATACTCATCTTTTCTAAGCTTACTTATATATTTTGAGAGAGAGAGAGAGAGAGAGAGAGAGAGAGAGAGGCAGAGAGAAAGGGAGAGAATCCCAAGCAGGCTCCACTCTGACAGCGCAGAGTCCAACGTGGGGCTCAAACCCCTGAACAGCGAGATCACGACCTAAGCCGAATCAAGAGTCAGACACTTCACCAACTGAGTCATCCAGGTACCCCTCAATACTCATCTCTCGAGTACTCGTCATTTGAGGGATGGGGAGCCAAACTTGGGATGCGATAACAAAGTCACAGGTCATTAGGGGCAAGACTCAAGGCAGAGTGCCTATTCCTCAGGCCACTGCTGTGTGTATAGCATCCAACCTGTCCAGGTGTCTTTGTTCCCTTTATTAGATTCTAATCTTTTTAAAGATGAGACATAAGAAATACATTTGGTTTTTGTCCCGTTACTGGCACAGTGCTTCTAAAATCCTTGGAATTTTAGCAAGGGGAGTGTCTTTGTCATTCACAGGAGCCCCTTTTGAGCACACCTGTCTATGCTAATGAGGGGACGGAGGTTGGGGCCCCTACTCTCAAAATGGGCTGGTCACCAGAAAGACCAAGCGATTAGAGGGTTAGGACTTTCAGCCCCACCCACCTACTTCAGGAAAGAGGAAGGGCCTGTGGATTAAACTCCATAAAAATCTTGAACAATGAGGTCTGATGAGCTTCCGGGCTGACGAAGACATCCATAAGTCTGGAGGGTAGCGCTTCTGGCCCTCACCCTGTGCCCCTCTTCACCTGCTGGTTCTTCTGTATCCTTTATACCAAACCAGTAAGTGTGAGTCACTGTTTCCCCAGCTCTGTGAGCAGCTCCAGCAAATTAGCCAAACTTGAGGAGGAGTCATGGGAACCTCCATGTCACTGCCAGTGACTGCCAGTCACTCCAAAGCACAGATTTCCAAATGGCATCTGAAACGAGGCCCGTATTGGGGGACTGGGCCTTAACCTGCAGGATCTAATGCTCCCTCCGGGTAGACAGTGTCAGAGCTGGGTTCAATTTGCAGGACGTGCAGGGTCTGCTGAGAACTGGAGAACCTCTAGTGTCCACTAGACCTCAAAGTGTAACAAGGAGATATGATGGCTAAAGCTATAAAACTCTTGGAAGAAAACAGAAGAAAAGCCTCACGACATTGGATTTAGCAATTCCTTGGACAGGACACCAAAAGTCTAGACAACAGAAGTAGGAATAAACTTAATTGGGCTATATCCAAATGAAACACTTCTGGGCATCAAAGCACACAGCCAACTGAGTGAAAAGGCAACGCACAGAATGGGAGGACACATCTACAATCATGTATCCAGTAAGGGGTTAATATGCAGGCTATATACAGAACTCTCACACCTCACAAAAACCCCACAAACAACCCCATCTAAAAATGGACAGTGGACCGGCACAGACATTTCTCCAAAGAAGATACACAAATGGCCGAGAAGCACATTAAAAGATGCTAGACATCACTAATTAATAGAGAAATGCAAATCAAAACCACGATGAGATTCCACCTCACACCCATGAGGATGTCTATTAGAGAAGAAACAGAAGGCACGTGTTGGAGGGAGTTGGAGAAATTGGAGCCCCGTGCACTCCCCGGGGGGGGGGGGGGGTTGGAAACCGGTGCGGTCGCTAAGGACAACAACATGGTGGTTCCTCAAAAAATTAAAAATGAAACTACCATATGATCTAGGAATTCTATTTCTGGGCATGTACCCAGAGCACTGGAAGGTCTCGAACAGATATCTGTACACCCACGTTCATACAGCATCATTCACAACAGCCAAGAAGTAAAAACAACCTAAGTGTTCGTTCTGGACGAACGGATAAACAAGATACGGTCTATACACACGGTGGCATGTTATTCAGCCTGAAAGAGGAAGGCCATCCTGGAGCGCACAACAGAGGGGACCTGGGGACATTATGCTAAGTGGAAGAGGTCAGTCACAAAGGGACAAACACTGTACGATTCCACTTACTGGCGGTTCCTCGAAGAGTCAAATCCATAGAGACAGAAAGCAAAGCAATGGCTGCCAGAGGTTGGGGCAGGGGTGGGGGTTCCGGGAGGACAAAAGCGAGGGTTTCATGGGGACAGAGTTTCAGTTTCTCAAGATGAAGAAGTTCTCGAGATGGACGGTGGTGATGACGGCACAACAGCGTGAACACAGTAAATACTACCAGACTGTAGACTTAAGAGCAATTGTGACAATGGGTTTTACGTCATGTGTATTTTGCCACCATTAAAAACTTAAACAGGAGGAAGAGGTACTCAGACTGTGAGGCTGCACAAGCGCCCCCCCCCCCCCCCCCCCCAGGCAGGAGGGTGTGACAGCTTCACAGACTCACCGGCCGAAAAAAGCCACTTTCATGTGCCGCCGGGCCAACACCTCACTGATGCCCCTCACTTTGGACAGGTAGCCTTTGACGTCCACGACCTGTTCTTCTGTCGTAACGGGGTCCAGTTCCGCATTCCTGTAGGTGTCTGGAGGTGGAGACGGAACATGGGTCACTACTCTGTCCGCGGGGGACAGAGGCCCCGGCCGCAGCTCCCCGCCACTGCCCGCTGAAGGGCAACCTCCCTGCTGGGGGCCGCAGTGCAGACACCCGGGCTCCAGAGCAAGGAAGTACTGCTTTACCACCTCTTCCCAGCTGTGCGACCTCAGGCGACAGAGCCCAGTCTTAGACTCCTGACTCTCACAACAAAGAGCAGTGCCCACCTCTTGCGACTGCCGCAAGGATGAATGAACGATGTCCATTTGAGCACTAGAATGTTCCCTGCCGTCACTTCCAGGCGTTTTACTTACCAAACTGTTCCTTACACACCAGGCACTGCTCTGATCACCTTTCAAACACAGTCTCACCCCATCCTCGTCATTTACCTGCCCCACACTCGGAGCCAGGACGGGACCCTGTGCACCTTCATGAGGCCCTTCCTGACCGGCCCTGCCTACTGCTCCAGTAGGGCCTCCTGCCAGCCCCATCCTGCACGGCACGTCCCCACCCTCGCCATGCTGCCTCCGGTTACTCTGGGCTTTGCTCAGTGCACCCCTCCCCCTCCCCCCGCTGATGCACAGAGGCGCTGCCTTGGGGGGCTCTGGCTCACTCCCACTTAGCCTCGTCTAGCATGGACTGCACAGCCCCTGGAAGCCTTCCCTGACTCCCCCAACCTGAGTGAGAGCCCCTTGTTTGTGCTCCCAAAGCACCCTGTGCTTCAGCGCTCACCTCACCATGGTGTGACCGTCTAGTTCAAGTGCATCATCTCCCACATGAAAGCCAAACTGTGCGGTCCCCGCACTCAGCAGGTGCACCACAACTGCTAAGCCAGTGGGTACTGGGATCACTGCACTGCTTTTTCCCAGTGGCTCCGACAGGCAGATAGGCAACGGATGACAGAAGCAAATGAGCAAGGTCCGGCCCCACCCCATCTAGTCTTGCACCAGGAAGGCGTGTCAGCTGGCGGAGTAAACGGGCGCCTGGTCCCTCGGCACACGCTCGCGGCAATGGACTAAATGTTTATGCCCCCACCACGTGATGGGTCATGAGGGTGCAGCCCTCATGACTAAGATTAGTGCCGTTATCAGAGACCCGGAGAGCTAGCTAACTCCTGCCGTGTGCTTACCTGGGATGTTACACAGGAAACGACAGCAATCCAGGAAGCTGGCCCTCACTAGACACCCAATCTGCTAGAGTCCGGACTCTGAACTTGCCAGCCTCCAGAACCGTGACAAGTGAGCTCCTGTTGTTTATAAGCTACCCAGCGTGTGATATTTCTGCTACGGCAACCCAAGACGACGAGGGTACTGGTGACCACAGGCGGCATTCAGAGACCACCGGGTGAGTCTCCCCTGCATGATGCCACGAGGGGAAGTGACCAAACTGCCAAGGCCTCCCAGGTCCCCTGGTCACCGCAGTCTCAGACCCATCACCCCTCCTCCTTCATAGGGGCACATGGGCGTGGCTTCTGCAACGCTCCTGAAAGGAGCTGGGCTCTCAAGCGAGTGGCCACATTTAAAAGAAACAGCCAGAAGACTGACCAGGCGGCCACCATCCCCGCCCCTAGCCAGGGCAGGCCCAAACACATACCCAGAGCACTCCAGCTCTTTCCCCTGCAGCCCACCAACAGGACAAGCCTCCTGGTCTCACAAGAACAAGAACCAAAACAGCCATTCCTAATGCTAGCACACAGACCCCTTCGTTAAGCACGTGTTCGTCCACGGCACCAACAAAGTGAGTGAGTCAGAGCATCACAGACGGTCAGCCGGAGCTCTGGAAGGAGTCACCTGGTCTGCCCCATCTCTGCGTGCACAGAGCCAGGTGCACCCGAGTTACTGCCAAACAAACGGGTCATGAACTGGAATAACTTCAGCTACCAGTCTTCTAACTGTAAAACTCAGATTTTCACGTTAACAAGTATGTGGGGACCACCTTCTCCTGCATCAAGCCCCACGCCAGGGGCAGGGCAGAGAGTCCGTTCTCAGTCTTGGTTTGCTCAGGCTGTTCCAATGAAACCGCACAGACTAGGCGGGTCATACACAACAGACACGTACTGTTCCCAGTTCTGAACTGGAAGGCTCAGATCAGGACACTGGCCCGGTTAGGGGAGGGCCCTCTCCCAGGTCACAGGTTTCTCATTGTATCCTCACGTGGCAGAAGGGGGCCAGGGAGCTTTGTGGGTCTCTCATAAGGGCACTAATCTCCTTCATGAATGCTCCCCCATCGTGACCTAATCACCTCCCAAAGGTCCCACCTGTGAACCCCATCACATTGGGTCTTAGGGTTCCAACATGAGAATGTGGGGGAATGCAAACATTCAGACCACAGTACTGGAAACATTCCCTCTCTCTAAAGGGAGCCTTAAGAAGGAGCCTGTCACATAAACCAACCCGAAGCCAAGCCACGGTAGTGGAAAGCAGACGGTGAAGCATGACCCTGGGGCGTTTCCACTGAACATGCAGAGCTCTGCGGACTAGAATTTAAAAAGCCCTGGTCTCGCTTGAGCGCCTCTTTCACAAACAAGGAAACCAAGGGCAGATGAGACTCAGCTACTGGGTCTGGACGGACAATCCCAGACACAGGAGCTAATGTATACCTTCTAGAGAGGGAGCCTCAGACAACCAGAGGCTGGGGTTGGCAATCGACTGAGCGGGGGCCCTGGGAACCTGTCCTCCTCTGCTGATAGAGCAGGCACCAGGGGCTGGGCTCAAATTAGTAACTAGTGGAAAAGGTGCCAGTGACGCAAGTTTCCTTTCCACAGCCCCGCTGACTAAAAATATCAGAGAAAGAACACCCTGGGCAGGGACAACCAATACCCGCACAGTCAGGCTGAGGAAAACACCTGGGCTTAGGAGTCAGAGATACCTGGTAGAGCCCTGCTGTGTCACTTACAAGATATCGAGCAAATCTCAAAACCTCCATCTGCTTGTCTTCTACATGGGACTGAGATTCACCTACCCCTCACGACTAAATGATACAGAATACACAGAATTCTTATGTGACAGGTCTCTAGTTTTCCTAGTCCGATTTCCCTGGAGCCCAATTCCACATGATTCCCAAAGCACAACACTGCTGAAGGTGACAACCTACCTGGGGATAAGCTCCCCAGGAGCAAGGCTCTACCTCCCCTCCTCTCTATCCTCCCACCTACATATGGAAACTGACAGGTGTGGGCCCGGCTGAGCAGGCCGCCTGTCTCACCTTCAAGGAAGGTGGCGCTCTCTTGGATGTAGGCCCCCAGTTGCTCAAAAATGCCATTGATCTTCTTCTTGGCAGTGACAAAGTGCTTGAGTGGGGAAGCATTCACCTCAGCCATGTGTCTCTTGTCCTTCTTGACTGTAACAATGGAGTTGCACCGAGAGAAAAGCAGGGACATCGCGCTGCAAGAAAAGACAACGTGAGTGAACCCGGGAATGCCCAGTTTAGACGTTCTGCTAGGGCTGTGGCGGGGTGCCATGGGGGGCCTGGGGCTAGCCCTGGGGGCCATCAAGAACACGGGCCCTCCAGGACTAGATCCAGGATGGTAAGACTGGCGTCCTCAAGAGTAGGAAGGGACCACCGAGGACGTGTGGGCACCCAGACAGCTGGAGCCAGGGCTCTGGGTTTAGGCCTTGCGCTGGCTGATCCCCGCCTGTGGAAGAGCAGCAGACCCAGCCTTCCCCACCTCAGGGAGTCAGGCCGGGATCACGAGAGGACACGTGAGAAGCCCTCCTCTCGGTCTCAGGCAGAAAAGTGTGACAGAAACCTACTTCTTTCCTACACATCACCCACCTAAGAAAAAGCACGGATGACTGAAAGCAGTGAAAACAAAGTGATGCTCAAAGTCCGTGACTCCCACCACCCTCCCCTGGCCACTCTGCTGTCCAGGTCACGACGGCCCTAATTCTGAACGGGTTTTTTGTTAGTACTGGTGGTGGTCGGGGGTGGACAAGGAAGGGTGGTACTCAAGTGAGAGAAGTCTGCATCTACTCTTAAAAACACTTATTGGTCTTTCACTGCAAGCGTGTGCACCGTAGAAAATGCGGGAACTGAAGGGAAAATCCATAACCCCCCTCCTGTGATAACACTATTAATACCTGTCTATCAGCAGTCTGTTTTGGGGTAGATAGCTCTCTTGCCCTCGATCGTTATAGCCTATATTTTCCAAATAGCAGTAACATACTAGGGGCCGTGAAGCTGAGCTCCAAAGCCTTAGAAATTTTTGCTCAAAGTCAAAACCGGCAGATAGAGCAGAGAAGGTGGCATCCAGATGTGGCTGGAGATCTCTGGTCCCATAACTACACTGCCCCTGAGTTCCCACCATGCACAGAGCTATTTCCCCAGCAGGGCCCTCAGATCATGGATGTCAAAGGACAAAGGCCCCTCCAACCCCACACAGCTGCATGTGCCTGGTTCTGTGTCTCCAACACCCAGCAAATTCTCCCTCCCAGGCCACCCTAATCATAGCAACATGGGCTCTCCATGGGAGCCAGCACTCAGCACTCGCTGCATCTGGGAAATGAGAAAGCTCATGAGGGAACATACACCAGAAACTTCCCAAGCGTGCCAAAAGGTACTGAACAAGTTACTGAGAAGCAGAAAGAACATCCAGAGAAAGCGCACAGTGACTGAAAACTGGTTCTTAGGATCTAATCATCCCAAAGAGTGGGCAGACAGACAGACTCAGGGAAATATCAACCCACATGTTTTGCATAACTTACAAATTACTTTGTTAATGATTTCTAGGGAGATAAGAAAGACAAGTAACTGCCCATTTCTACCTTCCTCCTCCTTAAATCGCTACAACTGTGCACTTTTCTTAGCCTGGGGGTCAAGGCGTCAAGGAATTCTGAGGCAACAGAACTCTGAGAAGGGGAATCGGGAAGAAAGCACCCCTGCCTCCTCCAGAGCAGAAGAGGCACTGGAATCAGGCTTCGCGTGGCCCAGCAGGTTAAGACTCTAGGAGAACGGGGGATGAGTGCAAAAAGAGAAAAGCATCAAAAGGAAACGGAAAGGGATCTGGATGGAGCATAACACGGCTGGAGGGGACAGATTCTGGAACCAGAGCTGGGTTCAAACCGTACTCTTTCTGGGCCACGTAAACTTGAGCAAGTTATTTAACCTCAGAGCTTTGAATCCTTCATGTGCAGGACAAGCGTGATGCCACACAGATGGAGAAGGCTCAGGCTGACACAGGACAAACTTATAGGTGATTTTATGTGTTATGAAGTAACAACAATGATAAACTCCACCAGCAAGATCGGGCAACTCTCCCCTCCAACACCCAGCCTTCAGGGAAGGGCAGAGACGACTCCACCAACACATCCTCGGCTCCCCCACCGTCACGGGGAACGTGAACAGGTCTGCTCAGGGCTGAGGAACAACAGGGCCCATCCCCAGAAGTGACTTGCTTGCAGGCAGAAAGCTCCCTGAGATCAGTGGGGCTCTTAGAAGCATGTGCTTTCAAGTTCTGGTCATTGTTTGCCAGCCCAAAGGATCTGAAACCAAAAGTGCTAGTGTTCGGTAAGTGCAAGATTCAAAGGCGCGCACGCTAGGAAAAGCTTAGCGGTTCAAGGTTACGAGACGTGCTCGGAGTTGCCAGGCCAGGACCTGACCTGCTCTCACCATCCCCCAGCCTGCAGCCGTATGCCCCAGCCCTCTCAGGGATCCTCCCTCCAACCCATCCAAACTGCCTGATTTCTCTGACTCAGTTAACCCCCAAGCTGAGGTTCCCTGTTTGTGTTGTACGTGCTGCTTCCGGCCTGGGATCCTCTTTTCTTTTTCACCATTTGGCACACTCCTACTGTCTTTCTAGACCCAACCGTAGCATCACCCCTCCGTGAAGCCTTCCCTGACATCTCCAAGGAGGACACGCAACCTTATGGTTTTTAAATCCCCGTCTCCTCGTCTAGTCTGTGACCTTCCAGAAAGATCGCTGGACACAGAGTCGTGACCTGTTTCCAGGTCTACTTTCCTCCTCCACAACTGTGAGAGACACGGATGAGTTAGCGAATGCCCCTTCACGAGAGTGCCTTCTTCCCCTTCCATCCCTAGAATACACACATCTACTTTTTTTTCTTAAAAAGCAGCTTCGGGCTAAGCATCTGTTTCTTAGTGTTTGGAGCTCACGGAATCAAGAGAGTTGATCAAACCTTTTAGATCCCAGGATCCGATCCTTCAAAGAGCAAGCTGGACATACCTATGTGCACAAATGGACCCAAGTTACGGAACACACACAAACAAGCCAAGATGGGGGGGGGAGGGGAAGGCCCACTATCTCAGGGCTTTGCCTGCTGGCTGCCTACCCTTACAGAGTGGTAGGAAGCAGCTGGGATCCTGTTCCTCCTCTGGAAAGCCCTGATAGTCCCTACTTCACCACAGAGCTCACTGCAGGCATGCAGGTCCAGTCCCCTGGGCACAGCTAGGTTAGAGTGGCTCTGATACCAGCTACACATTAAGTGGCATGCTTCAAGCTGGGGTGACAGGCGCGAAGTGCTCTTCAAGTCAGGGTTTCAGATAGTTCAGGACAGCATTTCCCAAAGTGCGGGCCACAGAAATGTAGTGCACCCAACGCTCCATGTAAAAAGGGATCCATGGTAGAAAAAATTTCTAAAACACTATATGCCACGGTCATCCTCCATCAGAGCACATGACCAAAGCAAAGACTCTGGAAAAAGGCCTGTTCTAAAAACACTAGCTGAACTGTATTTAACGCAGCATTTCACAAACGTATCTAAACAAGATGTTCTGCTACATAACGGTTTTTAAAATCCTGAGGAACATCCTTCAGGGAAAGCCTCATTCATCCTGGTCGTCTCCCTCTCCCACCCCAAAAAAGTGCTAGGGGCACAGTATTAACAGATAGTAACCTAAGACCAGAACCAAACCCAATTCCAAACTGAAAAAAAAGCTTTGCCTCAACCCAGGCTATTTATTAGTTGAGGAGTATTAGATGCCTCGCACGTGAAAACAGCAGTAGAGAATTCACCATATGGTGTGTTTGGATCCCAAGCACAGTCCCTAAATCCACACCACCTCCTTACCCAGTTTTATGCACAGCAACTCCTAGCAGGGAAAATAAAATAGGTCCACGGATCGTCTGCTGGCACAACTGGAACAGAGGAGAAGCTGAGAAATTGAAACAAAAGAGTATACAGGGTAAAAGGGGCAGAGTAGACTCTCAGAAGAGCTGTGATAAGGAGCCAGTCTCTGCTGGGCAGACACAGGGAGGGAGGAGCCAGCAAAGCAGAGAACAAGGGAGACAGAGACTAATTCTTCGGGGAGCCCAAAGATTCCAGCCACCTTCTGAACTGTCAACCTTTAAATAGGCTCTCTCCACCAACAGTGAAAACCATGGAAGCAGGAAGGACATACATACAGTTTTTTTCAGCACAGACTGGAAAACTCCAGCTCTGAGCAAAGATGACCCCATCCATGACACTTGCCACTGGACAGCCAGCAGAACATACCCCTTTCCACTCAACCCAGATCCAGGGTGCCAGACATCCCAGCTACCACTTACTTTTTGGATGGCAAGAGACCTTCACAGGCTGGGCATCATGGGCATGGCTGGAGTCAAAAAGACGAAAAGAATCTGAATTCTCCTCTGTCCTGTCTCAGGTTGAGGTTGGCTACTGATTGTGTTGACTCCACCAATTCCAACTTATTGGGGAAAAAAAAGGGACATGTCAACAAGCAGCCAAAAAAAAAAAAAAAAAAAAGGGTGCAAAACACGTTTAACCAGGTTTAAAGCCAAACAAACTCATCCCTGAGGGAAGCTTAGTCATTGCCCCGTACTCTGTACTCCAATGGTATGTGAGGAAGTGCCCTGGAGGAAAACACAACACACAGGTGTGGGGACAATCGCGGGGACACACAAACATGTGCTGGTGAGAAGCAGGAACCCTGGTAAAGACAGGTCCATGTCCAGAGAGGTGAGAGGAGAGGAGGCAGCAGACCAGGACAAGGACTGGTCTTGAGGATTGTGGAACTGAGGACTAGAGATGAGTGGGTGGGGATGTGGAAGAGAAGCAGAAGTGGAACTTATTGAAAGAATGTGTGTGCTGCATGCTGTAAAATATATCTTACTTAATTTTTAATTCTATGGGGCAAACAGAGGCTTGGGATACTTAAAAGATTTATAGACTGCTAATAAGTGGCCAAGCTAGGAACTGAGATACAATCTCCCTTTAACTCCAAACCATACTTGTTTTTAACTTCGTGGATCTGCCTCACTCCACCCTTCCGGGTGGGAAGGGTGATAATCAGAGGGCTTTCTGGGAGGAAGAAAAGAGAGACGATGGAGAAATTGAAGAAACAGGGCAACGAAAGATTACAATAGAGGATGGGCAGTTTAGGCTTCACGCATCCAAACAGTAAATTATTCCGCATCGTCTGTGTGCCTGTGTGCATGCTAGGCGCTGAAGTTAGGGATGGGTAAATCAGTACCTGCCCTCAAGGGGCTTACCTTCAGGTAAGAAGTCAAACAAGAAAATAGGTGACTGCACCTGAGCGCAGAAAGTGCCCAAAGTGGGAGAGGGTAAGGCGCCACAGTGGTCAACGTGGGCACTTATCTTGTGCTGAGTAAATGCTGGCAAATATAGAAGACTGGATACGAAAGGAAGAAAGGGCTGGGATGGAATGGGGCCGCGAAGGTGGGAAGGCTGGGGGAGACGAGGAACCTCAAGGAACCCCACCCCCAGTCCAGACACCCACGTCCCGCCCCCTCCTCTCAGGGCCGCGGAGGGCCCCGCAGCGAGGCCGGGGCGTGGAGACGCCCGCCTGCCCGGATCCCGAGTTCCCGGGGTTCCAGCGTCCCACCGGTCCCCGCCGGGCTGCTCAGGACTCGCCGGGCTGGGCTGGGCGGGTCCCCACCCCTCCGGCGCGCTCGCCCTCTCACCTTCACCTTCCCGGCCTCGCGGCGGCCATCATGCCCCTAACGTCACCAGACGGCGCCACCCCGGAGAGAGGCGGGAGGAGGAGGGAGGTCGCTCACGTCACTAGCCGCCGCACGTTTGCCGCCCTGGCCCTGATCAATCGGTGGACTCCGAGCTCAGGCGGTTAGACCCTATCACTCCTTACGGGTCAGGGGGTCTGCCGGCTGAGAGCCCCGAGAGCCGGCTCAGCGGGCTCGCTTACCGCCGGGGCGTCCCAAGCCAATGACGTCAGCAGAAGGACTCCAGCTGCATCGTGGGAGCTGTAGTTCCTCCGGGCGCCCGTCAGGGCGGGGTGGGCGGGGCCTCGAGCTGTCCAAAGGCCAAGAAAACAAGGGCGTGGGTTAGAGGTTCCCGCTTTTTCGTCTGTTGCACCAGAGCCTGACCCTAAGGCCCTTGCCGGCTCTCTAATCCCAGCCTGCGTTTTGTAATTTTAGAGAAGAGCTCTTAAGAGAAAGAGGGGAAGCAAACTTGGGCCTGTTGCCCTTCGGTTGACTTTGAGGAAATGAGAACAGCAACGGTCGCGGAGCAGGCAGGGTGCCTAACATTCATGCATTTTATTTAACCTTCAGGACATTCCCTGGAGGCTCAGAGGAGACATTATTCCAGCTCACATATGGCAGACCACTGGGCCTCATTATGTGCCAGGCGCTAGGACACAGCAGTGAACAGGTTATCTGGTGGCCTCAGCCACAGCAGGGAAGGTTTGAAGTCTATGCTCTCTCTCCAGTACCGCAGCCACCAGCCACGTGTGGCTATGGAGCCCCTGAAAGGTGGCCAGTGCCAATTGAGATGTGCTGCAGACTTGTACCAAAAAAAAAATAATAATAATAATACACACATATATATACATGTGTATATACACATATATCCATATATCTATACACATATACATATATATCTATATATACATATGTAGGCACATATATATACATATATACACATCTATCTATCTATCTATCTATATACATACGTATCTATATATACATACATATAGGCACCTGGCTGGCTCAATTGGAAGAACATACGACTCATGATCTTGGGGTTGTGAGTTCAAGCCCCATTGTTGGGTATAGAGATTACTAAAAAATAAACTTTAAAAAAGGTAAACAATTTCATTAATGCTTTTAGGTTGACTATATGTTAGTGATCATATTTTGGATAAAGTGAGTTAAATAAAATATATTGCTGACATTAAGTTCACCTGTTTCTTTTTACAATTTAAAATGTGGCTACTAAAACATCTAAAACTGCATAAAATGGCTCACTGTGTGATATTGGGGTTTATGACAAATACACATTTTGTCTTCATCCACTGTTTCTATAAATTGGGTGCCTCTTGTTATTCATAATGAGCCCGTTTCAACCACACCTGGGTTTATGTGACTGCAGTAACTTTTGGAAACCCCTAAGGATTGAGGCTGGTTGCCAGGGGAACCAACAATGTGATTAGAGGGTTGGAATTCCAGCTCACTACCTGTAAGCTGAAAGAGTTAGGGGTCACCAGGAAAAGACAGACATAACTTTCCTGACATAAGTCATTTTAGGGGTGCCCGGCTGGCTCAGTCAGTACAGCATGTGACTCTTGATCTCAGGGTCATGAGTTCAAGCCCCACTCTGGGCATGAAGCCTACTTTAAAAAAGGGGGGGGGGGCACCTGGGTGTCTCTGTCAGGTAAGTGTCTGACTCTTGATTTTGGCTCAGGTCATGATCTCTGGGTTCGTGAGATCAAGCCCCAAGTTGGGCTCTGTGCTGCGTCAGGCTCTGGGCTGACAGCACTGAGCCTGCTTGGGATTCTCTCTCTCTCTCTCTCTCTCTCTCTCTCTCTCTCTCTCTCTCTTAAAATAAATAAACTTAAAAAAAAAGTCATTTTCAGCTCCCCACCATCCCATTGAAGAATGCTAGAACAGCCACACCCAGGCCAGGAGATAAGCTAATCACATCAGGACAATAATCAGTGGTGAAATCCTCAGTGTTGATTCCAAAGTGAACAGTAACCTGACACACATTCTTGAGCTATCTCTGCGGGATCTAAACCCCTCTGAGCACTCAAATAGAGGGCCAATTGGAGCCAGAGAACTGATGCTGACTTTTGCCAGCCCTCTGGACTTTGACCTGGACTCAGTCACCTTCAGATGACTTTTGCCCCCAAGTCCCCACTGTATTCCCCCTTGTGCCAGCCCCTTCATGCATATGTATGCACTCTTACCTTAAAACTTCCCCAATGTTGTTTCTGGAGACACTGCTTTGGGAAATATCCTTAGTGTTCTCCTTTTACTTGTTGCACGGAAATCTCTTCCTTTTCCTATTCTTTGGCTTGGTTGTGAATTTTGGCTCAAAACCCATCAAGAGGAGAGCCCAGGTTGGGTAACAAATTTGGCAACTCTGGTGGGAACTCTCACCTAACCCTTCGAGTTCCTTCTGTGGGGAAGGGCATAAGAGAATCCCTCTTGATGCCTGATTTGTTGAGGCACCTCAACTCGCTGAATGAGCTCAGTGGCAGTGCCAAACATTTTTTTAACGTTTACTCATTTTTGAGGGACAGGGCGTGAGTGGGGAAGGGGCGGAGAGAGAAGGAGACACAGAATCTGAAGCTGCTTCCAGGCTCTGAGCTGTCAGCACAGAGCCCAACGCAGGGCTGGAACCCATGAAGTATGAGATCATGACCTGAACTGAAGTTGGACGCTTAACCAACTGAGCCACCCAGGCACCCCCCAAACATTTTAATCAGAGAGTCCCTTCAGAGAGGTCAATGGCAATTATCTCACAAATCAGATTAGGGTTCTACCGCTATCTCAAGGGGAGAAAAGGAGCAGCTATCTGGTCTGGTCTGGTCTGGTCTGACTGGGGAGTCAGGACTTGTAAGACGTCCTTGTCTCCCCAAGTTCTGGAGGCTGAGAAGGGATGCCTGATCATTGAAGGCCTCCGTGAGATAGATCTCAGGTTCTGGAGATTGTCTGCAAATTGTCTGGGTAGAGAGGTGCCAGTTTGGTATACCTCAACCAGCTGGGTGTCCACTTTTAAATGATCAACTGAAAGAGCTTACTTACCAACTCTCTGCGGGACATTTTCAGTGGGCTAAGAAGAGCTGAATTTGTGTGGACACTAATCCCTATTGCAGATCTCTTCGTAATTGGAGGACATTTGTAAAAGAGCTCCATTTGATTGGTTATAAGGCAAGTGCTTATCAAAATTCAGCATTCGAGGGCCGCCCAGGTGGCTCAATTGGTTAAGCATCCAGCTCTTGATTTCAGCTCAGGTCATGCTCTCATAGTTCATGAGTTCAAGCCTTGCATCAGGCTCCGCACTAACAGTATGGAAACTGCTTGGGATCCTCTCTCTCTCCCTCTCTCTCTGCCCCTCCCCAGCTCATGCTCTGTCTCTCTGTCTCTCAAAAATAAATAAACATTAAAAAAAAGAGGATTTTATTTTTTTTAAGTAGTCTCTACACCCCATGTGGGGCTCAAACTCACAACCCTGAGATCAAGAGTCACTCACTCTGCTGATCAAACCAGCCAGGTGCCTCTGTAAATACACTCTTAAAAAGTTTCCAAAATTTTTGGTTACTTCCAACTTTGAAGTTTTTCTGGGTCAAATAATAAATTGGGTTCGATTCAATGGATATCGAAATCTTTTCCAAATAAGATCCTGGTATAACAATTCACAATTGCTTACCACTTCGTTTCCACTAGACATTAAGGTTTCTGAGAATTAAAAATATAATTAAGAATCCTGAAAATAATAAGGGAAACAACTCTGTATGCAAGGAAAGATACATGTTTTTGGCAAGAAAGGTATAAGGAATGGGGATACTTTTTTTAATTCTAATTTTTTTTTTTAATTTACATCCAAATTAGCATATAATGCAACAAGGGAATACATTTTTTTTAAGAAAGTACTTTTGTCCTAAAATGAGACTGGTTGTTATTTTTTTCTAATACTTTAATGTTTTAATTTAATTTTTGAGAGAGAGAGGGAGAAAGCGTGAGCATAAGTTGGGGAGAGGCAGAGAAAGAGGAAGACACAGAATCTGAAGCAGGCTCCAGGCTCTGAGCTGTCAGCATAGAGCCTGACGAGGGGCTTGAACTCACGAGCCTTGAGATCTTGACCTGAGCATCTGACCCGAAGTCAGATGCTTAACCGACTGAGCCACCCAGGGGCCCCAATATATTTTTTTAAGATTTTATTTTTTAAAGTAATCTCTACGCTCAGTGTGGGGCTCAAATTCACAACCCCAAGATCAAAACTTGCATGCCACACCCACTGAGCCAGCCAGGCGCCCCCTGAATCTTATCAATATTAAGAGCTAAGTTTTCCCAAAAAGTTAAAAACAGAACTACCCTACAACCCAGCAATTGCACTACTAGGTATTTACCCAAAGGATACAAGAATACTGATTCGAAGGGGCACATGCACCCACCCCGATGTTTATTATGAACAATAGCCAAATTATGGCAAGAGCCCAAATGTCCATCGACTGATAAGTGGATAAAGATGTAGTATATACATACACATAATGGAATATTATTCAGCCATCAAAAAGAATGAGATATTGCCATTTGCAATGATGTGGATGAAGCTAGAGTATATTATGCTAAGGAAAATAAGTCAGTCAGAGAAAGACAAATAGCATATGATTTCACCCGTATGTGGAATTTAAGAAACAAAACAGATGAACATAGGAGAAGGGATTAAAAAAAAAAAAAAAAAGAAGCAAACCATAAGAGATTTTTTTAAGTTTATTTATTTTGTGTGAGAGACAGCAGGAGTGGGTGAAGGAAGGCAGAGAGAGTGTTGCATCCACAGGACTCCTGAAACAGAATGCTACGGGCACCAGTGACAGTCACAACAAAGTTTATTGCAATGAGAAGCAAGGCCGACCGATTGGGACCGACACTCTTGACCAGAGTGTGGCCTCAAACAGCCAGGGTACAGACTTTTTATAGCCAACCACATCGTCTTATGATCACCTAGGAACAGAACAAAGAAATAGTTCCCAGATGGGGGTAGAAACAGTTCAGACCAGCCCTTGCCCCAATCCAATCAAACACTAATCCAGTTGATTTTCCTTGAACTTTTGTTCCCTTGATTGATAGGATAGGGCCGTTATCTCTTAACCTACAGCATTAAAACAAAGCTGTTATTTCTCAAGGCTACAGGTTAGCCCTAACACTACAA